CATCATGGCTTTGCTGTTCTTGAGAAGAAGATTTTTTAAGATTTTTCCTATATATTTCTATGTAAAACTTTGATCCTCCATTGCAGCCCCGCCCTACCCCCGGGGGTCATGATTTGAACAAACTTGAATCTACACTACCTGAGGATGCTTCCATATAAATATGACTCATCATGGCTTTGCTGTTCTTGAGAAGAAGATTTTTAAAGATTTTTCCTATATATTTCTATGTAAAACTTTGATCCTCCATTGCAGCCCCGCCCTACCCCCGGGGGCCATGGTTTGAACAAATTTGAATCTACACTACCTGAGATTGCTTCCATATAAATATGACTCATCATGGCTTTGCTGTTCTTGAGAAGAAGATTTTTAAAGATTTTTCCTATATATTTCTATGTAAAACTTTGATCCTCCATTGCAGCCCCGCCCTACCCCCGGGGGTCATGATTTGAACAAAATTGAATCTACACTACCTGGGAATGCTTCCATATAAATATGTCTCATCATGGCTTTGCTGTTCTTGAGAAGAAGATTTTTAAAGATTTTTCCTATATATTTCTATGTAAAACTTTGATCCTCCATTGCAGCCCCGCCCTACCCCGGGGGTCATGATTTGAACAAACTTGAATGTACACTACCTAAGGATGCTTCCACGTGAGTTTCATCTCTCCTGGCTCTGTGGTTCTTGAGAAGAAGATTTTTAAATGATGCCATTATTTTCTCAGTAATTCCTAATTATCTCCCCTTGAAAGAGGGCGTGGCCCTTCATTTGAACAAACTTGAATCCCCTTTACCCAAGGATACTTTGTGGCAAGTTTGGTTGAAATTGGCCCAGTGGTTCTTGAGAAGAAGTCGAAAATGTGAAAAGTTTACAGACAGACGGACAGACAGACGGACAGACAGACGGACGCCGGACAAAATGTGATCAGAAAAGCTCACTTGAGCTTTCAGCTCAGGTGAGCTAATAAAACTGTAGGAGTAGCCTTGGAAAAAATTACAGAAATTTTAATTTTTGGTAACCATGGCAACATCATTCATCAAAATCAAAAAACGATACAGAAAACAATGTATCCCAGTGTAATCTATTTGTGTGCCAAGTTATAATGAAATCAGACCAAAACTGTAGAAGGAGTAGCATTGTGAAAGTATTTCTCAGTAATTTCTATTTTTAGTAACTATGGCAACACAGTTCAATGGAATCAAAAACTGATCAATAGAATTAGGTATCTTAGTGTAGTCTACTTGTATGTCAAGTTATAATGAAACCAGACCAAAGCTGTAGGAAGAGTAGCATTTTGAAAGTATTTCAAAGAAATTTCAATTTTTAGTAACATGGCAACGGTGTTCATCCAAATCAAAAACTGATATTTAGAATTATGTATCTTAGTGTAGTCTACTTGTGTGCCAAGTAAGATTGAAATCAGACCAAAACTGTAGGAGGAGTAGCGCTTTGAATGTATTTCATAGAAATTTCTATTTTTAGTAACCATGGCAACATCGTTTCATCGAAATCAAAAACCAATAAAGAGAATTATGTATTTCAGTGTAGTCTATTTGTTTGTCAAGTTATATTGAAATCAGACCAAAACTATAGGAGGAGTAGTGTTTTGAAATTTTTTTTTTACAGACAGCTAGATGGACGACGGACACCTTACTATCGCATAAGCTCTTCTGGTCTTTGACCAGTAGAGCTAAAAATTCATACCCCCACCTATTATGCTTTTATTACATTCTTTACTAATTGATGTTGTGTGAATTTGAGAGGTTGATAATACACTATACTATGTTTTTATATGATAATACATTGTACATGTAAATATGACAAATGTGTGGCAAGACTCCACCTTTATCATAAAGTTACATGTCAAGTTCCTTTTGTCCAACGACATACAAACTTTTAATACATGCATGAGAACATGACTTGTTTTCAAGCAACATAAGATTCAGAATCATGTTTCTTTTGTGATATTGCATAAACCAAAAGATTTATAAAAATTAAGGGTAAAGCGAAGTTTTGACAAAGGTTAAGCAAGCAAAGAGTGCAAAATATGTGCTGGAAAAGCAAAGGTTGTTTCTTTGTGTTGTTATCATCCATGTTAAAGTCTAGCCACTTTTACATTTATTTATAGCATAAAACTCATCAACAACATTGAATTGGAGCATGCAGAGGCAGGGAATATGTTCTGATTATATTTTTTTGATGATTATATTAAAATCCTTGTTCCACCAACATTGAGACCATGGTAATTTGTTAAATTTTTCTGCCCACACATACAATAAAAAGGAAAGAGTAAAGCAATATCTTCAACTTGGACCAGACAATAATAATGTTTTTCTCCATAAAAGTAGGTTTCTGAAACCTGTAATTTTATGAAACCTTATACTTTCAAGAATTGAACAAAATTTGCATGCTAAGCCAAGCAAAAATTCTACTTTTGTCAATTTTCTAGTTTTTGTGTGACTGCATGTGTCTCTTTCAGAATATTTTTTTTTCATTTGCAATGTACATGTATATCCACTGTGCACAATAAAACAATACTGCATATTTCTAATGCCACCTCCCAGTTGTCTCCCACACACAAGTGTTAGCAATATGGTAATGATTATAAGGCTTTATACCTCTGAAGTCTTACAGTGTGATAAAAGGTCGAGGACTAATGCCTTATTGATATTCTCCAGCTTCTCTCAGTGAGTTCTCCAGAGAGAGGAGGTAAGAATGTTATGTCTTAAAATGGTGTTTAATATTGACTGAACATTTTAAACAACTGGGTACAGTTATATCTTCAGTAGTTTGACAGCTCTGCAACTAATTAAAGTATTTCATCAGGAGCATTATTTATTCACATTTTACACTTCAAAGCAGACTCTCTGTTTAACGTTCAACTATGAAGATTTCAATTAAATCTACTTAGCATATATATGTAAAAAGAAATATCCCAATTGGACAGACATACTGTAGATCACTTAATTTTCACGACACCTAATTTTCATGAGATTGTTATTTGGTATTTATAAGCGAGACAAAATTTTCATGAATTTCGGTCAGAGCTCTATATAATCTTTTTTAATACTAATAGGCGAGAATGAAATTTTCACGAGCAGACAGTCTCGTGTAATTACACAAAAATAAAGTTCTCGCAAACAATTAAAATGTAATTTACAGTATTAGAATTACCTTTCAAACAGATATAATTAAGCCTGTCCAATGCATACAAAAAATGTAACACTTTGTTAGCAACAATTACAAAAAATGAACATGCTTTATTATTTGTTAAACAATTTCAACTGCAGTGTTTTCCCTTTCATATTTTTTCATCCTTGCAATACTTGTAAGTTTTCATTTGGGAAAAAAATGTAGCATTTTGGCTGAATTGAAAATTTGTATGGGCAGATATATTTGTTTTTAATTTTTCATTGTAATTTTTTAAATCAGCTCTCTTATTTAAATGATGTAGCTATTTTGTAAAGTAGATAAATCAACCTCAAACCATCAATACTATTAGGGTAATTGTCTGATCAGTTTCCAAAACAGAAGACAGTGGGGAGGTCCAAGATTTCTCTTGACTGTTGGATTCAATCTATTGTGAAAACACTAATTTTTGTGGGGATTTAATTTCTGTGATATGAAGAGGCCCACAAATCCATGTCCTCCATGTAATGTAAAAATGGCAAGGTACAGTTAAAGTACATTTCTTCAACCTCAAAATCAAATCCCTATGAACCTACATTTTTTCAGAAACCAAAATAATTTAAGTGATTTTACAATATCAGCTTACATCTGAGTAGACCTGAATAATTTATTCAATTTAATTTAAATAGTACTACACAATACACAGCACACAAGGCAGAAATCAAATGGTGGTACTGAGATTTGGATGGCTGACATTTGGAACAGTAGCTTTATCCGTAAGCCTGTAATTCAACAGTTCTGATGAACTACACTAATCTCTCTGTACATCAGGCTCTGGGGCCATAAAACTTAGATGAGCTCACTTTTGATCTCAGTCTAACTTTTACATAAGGAATTAATAGAGGAAAAGTGAGACTGAGATCAAAAGTGAGCTTGTCTAAGTTTTATGGCTCCGGAGCCAGAAATTCATCAGTTCTGATGAACAACACTAATTCTCTGTACATCACAAATTCATCAGTTCGGTTGAACTACACTAATCTCTATGTACATCACAAATTCATCAGTTCTGATGAACTACACTAATCTCTCTGTACATCAAGATTAACGTGCACTTTCTCAGCTTTCACTACAAGTATATACTCCTGTTTAAATAATTATACAATGAGCACACTACAGACTAGCAACACTGTGACAAAGGAAAACTCCATGCAAACTCAGACAGCAAATTCTACACAAAGCACACCAGGGCATGTACAACTGATTCACATCAGAATGTTGTATTGTGTGTGACTTCTTCAAAAATGTACTTTTATTTAATTTACCAACAGTATTAAAATGAAAAGAAATCTCAGAAAAATTAATTTTGAATAAAGTAATAATTTCTTGTCAGAGAGATATAACGTAAAACAAGATTTTTCAAAATCACATGAACTTTGACAGATTTATATGTAGGTATATGGTATTACACTCCTGGATAATAGATGCATTCTGATGTGACATTTTTTTGTCTAAGACCTGCCTGTTCTGCATTATTTGCAGCATTCCACTGTCTATTCCACACTTCAAGTGAAACCTAGACAAGATTGTTTATAGAGAGAATATATACAAATCAAAAAAATCATGACCAAGGAACAAAGTCAATAGCATTATTATAAGGTTTGAAATGCCACTCTTCAAGTGAAGTCCTAGAAAAACAAGATCATTTATAGAAAGAATATACTAATCAAGAAAAGAGTATTTCATAGCCACTTAACAAGGTCAATAGCATTATTTTATGACAAAAAGATCATCTTTGAAAAATCAGAGTGAAAAGTTTACACAGATGTTAATTATGGATATATATATTTCAAATTGATACATGCATAAAACTTACTGTGACAATGATATTCCTGAATGCCTTGCTATGAACACTGGTATTGATTTTCTACAAAGGAAAATATCTTTAAAATTACTCATTTACCATCCAGTACAATCATACATGCATGCACAAATGTCCGTTGCATGTATGCAATGTGCCTCCAATTCATCATTCAAATCTAAATCTCTAACATCTATCAATATGACTAATCATGCATTTGCTGTTCTTGAGATGAAAATTTTAAAAGACTTTCTTTCCCTATATATTCCTATGTAAAACTTTGATCACCTATTGTGGTGCAACCTTACCACATAGGGGCCATGATTTGAACAAACTTGAATCTACACCTCCTGAAGATGATTCCATATCAATATAAGCAAGCATGACTTTGCTGTTCTTGAAAAAATGATTTTTAAATATTTTTTCCTACATGTACGTATTTCTATGTGAAACTTTGATCACTTTTGTGATCCCACACTATTCTCAGGGATAATGATTTGTACAAACTTGAATCTACACTATCTGATGATGCTTCCATATCAGTATGACTAATTATGTCTTTGGTGTTCTTGAGAAGAAAATTATTAAAACATTTTTCCCTAGGTATTTCAATGTAAAACTTTGTGGCCCTATCCTTCAGCCGGGGGACATGATTTTTACAAATTTGAATCTACACTACCTGAGGATGTTTCAATAACAATTTGAATAATCATGCCTTTGCTGTTCTTGAGAGGAAGATTTTTTCCTATGTATTTGTATGTAAAACTTTGATTGTCCATTGTGGCTTCAACTACCACTGGGGATCACGATTTGAACAAACTTCAATCTACACTAGTAATGAGGCTTTTACTTATGCCTCAACTTTTCTGGCTAGTTTTTGTGAAGAAAATTTCTGAGAGATGTCATTAAATTTTCACTAATTCTAAATTATCTCCCCTTGAAAGAGGGTGTGGCCCTACATTTGAACAAACTTAAACCCTCTTCACCCAAGGATGCTTTGTGACAAGTTTGATTGAAATTAGCCCAGTGTTTCTGGAGAAGATGAAAATGTTAAAAGTTTATGACAACAATGACAACGACAATGTTTGGCTCAAGTGAGCTACAAAAATCATATATAACTACCGGTACATATTATTGAGATGGAGGCAATCTCAAAGGGTATAAGGGTAAAAGTACTTTGTGTAAGGCAGAAAATTGGTACATGTTAATTTTATGAGAAATATGAGAAAAAAAGAAGAAAACTCCCCCCAACCCCCAAACCCAAATTTAAATTCTACATAATTAATGACTACCAGAATTATGCTGCTGATAATCACCCCTTCCATGAAATGTATATTAAAACTGCTTTCATCCGGACAATAACCTTTGAATTGGTTCAAAAACTGCAAACCCTTGTTTTAAAGTACTCTATGAATGTAGTGGTCCAAGGACAGAAAATATAAGTTGCATTGGCAGAAAGTTCTGCTTTGAGCTTCAATTCTCCTTAAAACTTGACTTATGTTCGCAGCACAAAGACACTCCTAAGGTGAATCAGAATGGGTTAAATATGTTCTGGACTAGGATATTGTACAGAAATTACCTCTGACCAATTAACTAATATCAAGGTCACTGTGGATTTATATGAGCAAAACAGGTCCAAGGGCAGAAAAAACTGTTTTATAGTGCAGACAAGAATTGACACCAAGAACTGCTCTGACTTTCATCTCTGACAAAATTTTGTTTGGGCTAAGGGGAGAGTATATATGATAAGTACATGATTCACAAGAGAAATATATTAAGCCGGACTTTTACAAAGAAACTCTGATCAAGACAACTGCACATGAAAATAAAGATCATTACCCTTTATCTATAGGCTCTCTGTTGAAGAAGTACGAGACATACTTGGACAAGGGGAGAGAAAATGCACACAGACATGTAATGCTGGAGGGACAAACTGATCACAAGACGGTGCTTGCAATTTGGGGCCCTAATAATTCACACAATACATGCTTATTTTCTTTCAAAATTAAAAAGATTGTTTTAAGGGGAACAACTCTTTCAACTCATTTTATTTCAGTGTTGAAATATACCTTTTTCTTCTCTGGATTAGCTTTTAAAAATAAGGCATTTAAAAGGGCAAGTGCATTCTTCTGTAACTCTGGTCTAAAAAAAAGAAAAAGAAAATTTATCATTAATTTATTTTTTTACCTTTTCTAAAAACTTACTCTTTCAATATATAATCTGTTAATATGTGAGAGACAAAATATGCTGCTACATTTTGTAACCATATCTGATTATACTGATTTTAGGGCAATTAAAGTAATGCAATATTTTCCCAAATCAATTACAGCTCCTTAGGTTTCACATAAAGTATATGGACTAATACATCCTCTGTCATGTTATACTGCTAAGACTATAACCAGGTAACATTGATTTCAAATGTAGTAATCATAATGTCTTTTTTTAACCCTTGGACTACTAGAAATGATTGATTAAGAGATTAGTCAAAAGCCTTAATTTGCTCCAGTTTTACACTCACTGCTGGAGATGAGGGACTATTTTGTCTGGAGTCACTTGTTGTTCCACTTCTTTGTGTTTGGATAAATTGGTACTGAAAAAAAACATAAATTGTTAAATTATTGAATGTCATTCTGTGTCAACTAGATATCTCCATTTAATTTCAAAAAGCATTAATTCACATAATTTGTGTAACACACATGTATCAATTCAACCATACTTACCTGTTCAGAATGACTGATTCTAAAATCTCTAATGACGGCTGAATTATTTTACCTCCATGTTTTGGACTAGAAATGTAATCAGTGATCTGTAACAAAATTTTTTTCAACACCCATTAAAAATATTCTTTTTTTATACACATGTAGATTACTGCACATCAGAAGTGTACATGGTAAAATCCTTTTTGTTTTCAACACTTCCGACACTGAGCATTTACTGTTCTCTCCACTATATACTTTAGATTTCTAGCTTAGGATATATATTTAAAATTAATTTGTTTCATGATTTACTTCAATGATTCCTACTGATTTGTAAAACATCATATTTGAAAATAAATAGATAATACAGTAAAACTTGTTAAGTACAAACATGGATATTATGAATTTACAGATAAAGCGAAGTTTTTTTGATCCACTGCAAAATTCTTAAGAAATCTGAATTCATTTTAAATCTTATGGATATAATAATGAAGTTGAATATAGCTAATTTTCAGATATAATGAACTGATTTTGCATCCCCTAGAGGTTATAAATAAAGAAATTTACATCTTTTATAAAAAAATTTCAAATTTCTCAACTTTAATATATAGAAATCAAATTCATCAGAAACCTTTTGAACTCCATATTATCTTTAGTATAAAATACTTCCCAAAATACATTTGATTATAGTCATACTTGAAAAAAATATATATAATGCAAATTCGCTATACATATACTAGAACAAATTCGTTACAGGGATAAAACAAATCATGGATATTGCAAAGTACCCCGGTAAATTTGCAGGTCCCCAGGACTTTGCTATAACCATGTTTTACTGTACAATAAGTAGTGAAAGAAGCTGATAATATGATTGATTATTTTTATTTTCAAGAATGAAGCTGGACTATGTCCAGGCATAACATTCATCAATTCTTTAACTTCGCTTTTCCAAGACTGAAATGTAATGTTGCATTTTCATAACATTCATCAACCAGTACTACATTGTACATGTATAGGTCTTGGGAATTAACAAGATTTTACAATATTCTCTTCTTTGTTAAAAAAATAATTTAATACACGTTTATTTTCCCACATTTGATATTTAAATAGATGCTCTGATAAAATAAACTCTATTCAATAGCAGTTTGATAAAAGTATAAGCATAATTACCTTCTTTGTGAACTCAGGTTCAATCGTATCCCATGATACAACATTATGGTCCATCAAAGAAACAAATGACTTCAACAGCAAGGCCATAGGATCCCCATGGCTGAAAATAGAGCAAAATTTAAAGACCTTAACAACAAGGCAATAGCATCTCCATAGCTGAAAATAACCAGAACTCTTTTTTATTATTATTTTCTGAGTGTCGTACATGTACATGTTCATAAGAAGTATTGAAGTTTATCAAGTGTGGCTCGGGTTACTGATTTTTCAATAACCTCATCCTATTTTCCTACTTGGGATCACTCTACACATATAAATAACATCTTTTATGCCAAGGGAAAGCTGTTAGAGAACATATTTATTGATATTTATGTTACCAAGTCTTATAAACCTCAAACAATTACAGGAAGTGACCAATTCATGACATCAAATACCCACAACTCACCTTATCATCATAGGCATTATACATGTATAAAAATTAAATGACAGTATTTTGAGGTATCTCTTTTAGAAGAAAGGCTTATTTTACATAAGAGCAAACTTTTAATCCAATTTATGATGAATTCTTTGTTTCAAATTTGGATGACATTGCCCTATTCATTCTGGAGACTTTGTCATAATTTTTAGGTTGATTGGATGTCAATTAAAATACACAAACAGCAAACAAACACATCCTCATATTTGCAACAAACTGGATATTCCTGAAATTTATAAATATTAAGTGGAAGAATATCAAACCAATATTACAGAATGATTTCATTTTTCTTTTTGCATCTTTCTGGCATATTTGTAAACAAATTTATTTCCTACACTAGTAAGGGTTGTATAGGCTACTGACTGTTTCTCTGAGACAAAGCCTCTGGTAAAAACTTGAATCAAATTTGAAGGATGCATGATGAAGGAAACATACTATTTTCCCTCTCTTATAAACTGCTTGATAAGTTCTTGTCCTTCATTTGTAATGAACTCCATGGCAAATGTTATGTCTGAGGCCAGATTGCTCAACTTTTCCATAGCTGCCAATTTTTCCTCACCAGAACCCTTTCCATCCTTCAAAGTCTCATAGATTTGCTTGGCTGTTCTAGCCTACAAAAATACATGTAGCACATGTAAATGTCTAAACAATTCAACACAAATTCTCTATCAAAAGTTTATGGTGAAATTTAGATAGATAAAAAAATCTATGTATCGTATCTGATTAAACAGGTCCAATAAGCAAACATATGATCAAAATATAAAATGGTTATAAGATTAAACTCTGCATATTAGTCGTATCAAATAATCATACATTCCCAACATCTGATCTTATATAAATAGTGTACAACTGTACAATGTAATTTTGGCTATAGTACAGAGTCAACCTGCTTTTACAGTACAGTAAAACAGTCTTATAAAGAAGTGCAAGGGATGAACAATTTTGCTTTGCTATATATTTTAACATGAACATGAATGAAAATTACTTTGCTGTAAGCATCAATTTATTATAATTGTGTTCGCTATAAGTGTGTTTTATTGTACACTGCTCCAATTTTTACAGTTTATGATACAGCATATACATTTTGTGCAATTTATTTTACCAATTTTAAATTGGTTGCAATATTCAGTGATTAGAAACTGGTGAATTTTCAATTCATACTTTATTCTGAAATCTTTAAATAACAGTGATTAAATGTAATACTGTAGAAGCACAAAATTCGTGGGGATAAAATTTTATTGAACTGTCATCTAAAAAGGTTTCCTGGGCATTTAATTTCGTTGTTTCGACAGTAATTCTATCAAATATGTGGTCAAATAAAAATTTCATGTGGGATTTAATTTCAATTGTTAACAACAAAGTAAATGAAATTTAATCCCAACAAATATTTCTGCTTTTACAGCAACTAATATTACTAATTTGTGTCAATGACACAGTAATCTTGCTACTTACTGGAGAGGAAGTCAGAACCAATACATCACCATTGCTGATATCCAGACGATTCTAAAATAAAGTAAATACATTCATATTTAAAGCATTCTTCAAAGAAAAGAAATAAGAAAAGTATGAATATATTAATACACTACGTAAGTACTAAAAAGTATAGTTTATCAGTATACTAGCAATTTAAATCAAAAGAAAGAATTCATCTTTAAAATTTTTTTGTGTTCCAATTAAAATACCTTCTTTTTCATTTACAACTCCTTAATTGCATATTAAACAATGCAATTCTCACCCTTTCTGTAATGTATATATTTAGTTGACGCTTGTCAAATTGTATGGCATATTCTTCTGGTTGCGTTATTCCCCATCTACCAAAAAACAAACATTTGTGCATTTCCTTGTTAATTTTAAAATCATGAAAAAAATATAAACTACTAAAATAGCACTACAAAATTTCTAAACAACTGACTCTGAGAGAAGGTGCTTACTTTTCACAAATATCCTGGATGATGCCAGCCAATGGACGATTCTGTCAGAAATAAAGTACAGGGTCTTACATACTGTCATAAGAATTTCATATATTACTTCAATACTTCCATTCATTATAAACACTAAGAGATAATGTACTTCAAAATGAGCACTGTAGACAATTAGAATATGAAATGTGGATACATACACACTGGTGCATATATTTAATCCTAGCTCTTTGATGTAAATTTTAAAAGAATGTTTTCTCATGTGTAAAAAAAAAAGTACTGTTGATAATGTATACTAATACAACATGTACACATGGTGTTTAAAAAAAAAAAATTAGACTTTTAGTAAGACAAAAAGTTATCAATTATACTCTACATTAATTAATTAACAGTTTGAGTGCATTTTTTTCTGCATGCAATCAGCTGGCAATTAGTTTAGTTGTGGCCTTGTACATCATGCAAACTTTAGTTCATTATGCAAAAAGACTTTTCAAACAGTAAGTTGACATAAATAAACAAATCACTGAGTATCGCTTCAACCTGATCAAGCTCCAAGAACAGAGCCTGCTGTCCTGGTTTGGTGATGGCAACTTTCTTAATGTTATCTAGTTGGTTTTTCGAAGATATTCGGACATTAAGTCCAGGGACTTTCGGAGCATCCGTCATTTTGGCACGTTTCAGTTGGTATCTTAGATATTCATTAACTTGGAAGACAATATAAAACAGAATCAAAGTTTGAACACATTTCAGCTTCCTTCTTTCACACTTCCCTGTTTAGGAAGTCATCCTTGTTTTTATTTCGATCCCGATGCTATTTATACCATTTTTACCTCCATGGACTGGAGAGTTGTCGTCGTGTGCAGGCTGAGCAAGCTCGTGATATGAGCAAATACTGTGTAGATATGATTGTAACGATATGAATGGTGGCAGCTCGAGTAAACTCCAATGTATCTTAATCTGCAATTTCATCATAAATTTCAGGTAATTACAACTGATAAATCATGAAGTCATCGAATTATTCGTCAGTTGCTGTGACTGACACTTTTTGAAAGGCCTATCTACATAATATATGTAATGCCTATTGATATACTATAAAAAGAGTACTCTTTTTACAAATCAATAGGTAATACATATTTATAAACCAAGACCCAGGCACATCAGGTCTACATCATGTAGAGGATTATTGTAACTGTTTATTTGTTTCTTACGCATATAATGAATATATGAATTGGTTAATTTACTATAGGATTGACTATATAGATTATTTTGTTCATTGAGAAATGAATCTAAATAACGAATTGAACACTGTATGAAAGGCTTTCATAAAAAAGTGTGCGATTCGTTCTTTACATTCATTTTTCGATGAACAAAATAAGTTATATAGTCAATGCTTATAATTCAATTTCAGTGAAGGCATGTTACTTTTCATGTACAGACTCATTACTTAGCTAACTCAAAATATTGTGCATGAAGTTTACATGCCAGCAGCTAGGTAGAAATATATTGATTGGAAAATTACATGATTGAACGGATTCTGGGGAGCAGATCTAAAAGCCTGTAGTACACAAAGCGGGTATAATTTTCTTTTAAAAGTTATAAAAATAAAGAATATCCACCGTTATGTTATATTGCCTCTGTGATAATTTACTAAATTATTGATTACGTAAGTTAGGAAAATCTGCATGTGCAATTTAAAAGCGATTAAATCCAGTGTTTTCCCTAAGAACTGGCTACCAGCCAAATTGACCGCTTCAATTGATAAAAATTGCCGCTTTGAAATAAAAAAATTAAAATTGTTGTAAGGTCCAAAGAGATTTGTCATAAACCTCAACCTAAAGCCTGTTACAATTGATCTCTAACCCTTTACTTTAAAATATATAAAGGGAAAATACTGGATTACAACATAAAGCAGGCAGAACACAGGCCTTTTGATCGCTTAAATCCGACTTTAAAAAATTAGGGTGTATAAAAAAGATAAAGGTATGGAACTCCTTACATAGGGTACCCACATTTGCTAATTTAATACTTTTAATGCTCTGAAGTTTTACTTTCTATTCATATCTATTCATATATAATCAATCTACATTACTACCAAAGTTCATTCCGAAATTCCATGTACTTCCCGAGATATGGTGAAATCAATTCCAAAATTGACCTACTTTTTTTTACTCAACATTAGCTTGGGCCCTGGTTATTCACATGTATACAGACGGTGTTTGAACTGCAGTGAACAGCTGCATAATATTTGCACAATCTTTCAACATTTTAAAGTTGATTTTTTACTCCAGATTGTAAGGTTAAGTCAGTAATGATTCCTTTCGCGAAAAAAAAAATTAGAAAACATTTGCTTCAACAACTTCCCAGCCATGTTGTTTATTAATGTAAAGAGCTATGATTGAACGAAATTTTTCTGGAATGTATAATATACCTTTTGATTTTTTAAAAATTATACCGCTAAAATGTTGGTGGTAACTTAGTAAGACCATATGATCAAATCAGATAAAATTTTGTAGAGACTGAGTGCTAATAAACAAATATTCAGAGAGTATAGAATAAATTCCAGGAGGAATTCATCTCGTCGTTCCCGTGTACAATTAGTGTAACTATTCAGAGGCCCAAGCTAATGTCGAGTAAAAAAATACGGTCAATTTTGGAATATGATTTCAACATATCTCGTATACGGAATACGTTCTATTTCCATTAGTGAACTCTTCAAAATTAGAGGCGAATTTGGTCGTCTGACTTGGACAGCATGGCGTTGCGGATAATACAAAACATGCCAATCTCAATCCAATTTTAAATGTTAAATGTATTTGTCATTCCAATTAAAGAATAGAAGAACTAAAAGACATACGTAAGAGAGCGAGAACCCAAAATTTATCATCCATTAATAAAAAATAGGACATTTCCGAGGCATGTGTATTGTATTTAGATGTACCATACGATAAATAGATAAATACGATCAACAATAGATATAAATTGATATCGTTGTCATTCCTACTCTTGATGTATATAAAGTTTACAACAATAAAATATTTCATTTGCATTTTCTTAGGATTTGTTCATCGACATTCAACATATTGTTTACATGTTTATGTTACGTTTGTCCCAGAAATCCCGCGAGATTTGTACATTTTCCGACTTTTTCACAAAAGAGCGCTCTAAGAAGTATAACTTTTCCATAGTGGAAATAGAACGTATTTCGGAAAGAACTTTGGTAGTAACGTAGATTGTTTATATGTGAATAGTTATGAATAGAAAGTAAAATTTTAGATCATTTGATTTAAAAGTATTTTATTGGCGAATGTGAGTACCCTATGTAAAGAGTTCCATACCTTTATTTTTTTTAACACCTTAATTTTTTAAAGCGATCTAAGGGCCTGTGGGCAGAAACTTACTTGTTTGTTGTCAGTAAGCAAACGGTCAACGGTGATGTGTCGAGTGGTTTAAAAAGAGATATCTTCAGGTAAAAAAAAATCTAGAAATAAACTTGCTTTTAGATACACCTTAATACACGTACAACTTGATTGACAATTAATAACATGGTTAATACCCTGTAGAAAGTTGATGTGCAGACGAAATACATGAGAATGTGAGAGTAACTCTCAAGTCAGGAAAAAGGAAAACTTAGTCTAAGGTCCTTCTTACTTTTTAATTTTTGTAACCTATGTAAAATTTTTTAATTTTTTTTTATTATAGGCAGTTGTTGGCATGGTGATTAGGTATATATCAAAACTCAGTAACCCTTCATGTATAAAAATCAGGAAATGAATTGATCCAGCTTATATGATAGTGGCATTAAATGTATATGATATGCTGAAGGCACTTCTTAGTAAATGGAACAGCTCTGTTAAACAGTCAAAGCCATGGTTACAAAAATGGAATAAAAAAAGAATTAAAAAATACATATGCTTCAAAGATAACTTTCTTTTTTTTCTTCAGCAACAGGATTAAATAATGATGTATGCGTATACTGTTGATGCATATCTAAATGTTTCATGGCTACATGAATCTTTTGCCTTAATCCCAAGTTTAAGTGTACATTAAAAAATCATATTACTTAAAATTTCCACTAAGGCCTAAGAGCTGAATTATTGCATTAATATTGCAGAAGCATTCAAAGAATTGTTAATAATTAGTTTTGTTGAAAAAGAGAAGTGTATTGTATCATAATTTCAAATTCATATTCTGTTATCTTAATTTTCAAGTTCAAATCCTTTTTTCTACATTGAGACAGACCCATGCAAAGCTGTGATCTGAAATGCTTTCAAACTAAATCTGATCACTTTTCTAGTGTCTGAATATTTTCAGTTTTTTTGTAATCTGCACAATTCATCAAAGAAGTCCACAACTATACAGTGATGTCTTAGAGCATACCAATGATTTAAATGAACATTCTGGAACTACAAGCAAAGTTAGACATTCAAATGGCATCAAGCCATTTACAGAGGAACAAAGATATACTGAGATAGATGGACTAGATATATTACAGCCTTACAAATACCACCATGGTCCTAGACATCGAACACATCGCCAAGTAAGAGAGTGCCAAGATATTAAGTATGGAAATGTTACTCATTCCAAAATTCTGTCTCATGGATTTAACAAAAACCTAAGTCTTCCAATTGCTGAAACGAGACATTTGATACATGTAATAAGACAATCTTATTATGTACGGCGAGATGTACTAATGCACTTTTCTGTGATAAACAATCCATTCCAAACTGTGTCTGTCCTTGAGCCAAAGATGGAGCATGGCTGTAAAGAGGGGGAGGGGGTACGAGCCTCTGTACTGGAGTCAGCTAAGCAGGAGGACTGCATTGTGGCAATAAATGCTGGCTTCTTCAACACCACCAGTGGAGCATGCTTAGGTATAAAAGTTCAATCTGTAGACCTCAAGAAGTAAAGTAAAAAAGCATAATGCTTCAAGATTATTTTTGAGAAATGTATACCTGGTACTCACTTACACATGAAAATGCACAAGTATTTTGGCCTACAATTGCATTCATTCACTCATGTACATGAGGAAATCAGCCGATTACTACATGTATAATGTTTTTATTTTCCATTCAGGAAATGTTGTCAGTAATGGGAGAATAGTACAAGACTCTGGGGGAATTCAGAATGCTCACTTTGGAATAACAAAGAATGGATATCTTTACGTAGGGTATGTAATGCCATGTTGAGGTATTAGTTGCTGGAGACAGTTTTGTATGTTAATAGCTTGGAATGTCATTTGACTTTTCTGGTGATAAAAATAATTAAAATATAGCTGGCAAATTTAATATTGAAGAGTTTCAATTGTTCTTTGAGCCAGTACACGTACATGTACATTAACTAATACATGAATTTTAAGCTTGTAACTGTACTTTACTGTATATAGATAAAGTAGATAAATTCCTTAAGTTATAAAGTTATGTCTTAGTGAGGAAAAAGAAAATCAGCTTTATATATATTTGTAGATATCTGTCGGAGATTGATTTAATTACTGAGGATTTTCAACAGTTGGTAGGAGGTGTACTGTGGTTGATTCGAGATGGCAAGTCCTACCTGGATGAAAGCCTTAAAATTGAATGTTCTGACACAGAAGAAACAGGTAAAGAATACTTATTATTATCTTTCAGGATAATACAGTCAATCTGATTGGTTTAGAGCATGTCATGTGCAGGGAGACAATTCATGATGTCTCCCTCACACGCAGGGTGACAAATGTGTTGTCTCCATTCAGATGACAATGAAATAGCACAAGTGAGCATGCAGGGTGACAACTGTGTTGTTTCCTTTTATATTTGATGGAAATAAAATGTCATGAGTGAGATAACTCATATATATAATTGATATATTTATATGCGGGATCGGTTTAAAACAATAAATTCGAACAGTTTCGTCAAAGTTGTCTATATACATATTTTGAAAGAATGGAATCAGAGCAGTGGGTAGGAAAACACAAGGATTGACTGATATTTTCTACTCTAATTTATTAAATTAAAATTCTTCAGGATTTATCAGGTCTGAGTAGGGTTGTCACCCTCAGACACAAGCAACCTGGGGTGACAACTCTACTCAGACCTGATAATTTGTGACGTCTCCCTTCTAAACCGTCCATATTTGTATATTATCAACTGAGTATACAATCTTGCAGAACTTTCATATATACATGATCAAGAAATACACTTTATTTAAATTATGTGCAAATCATTTATATTTATACTTAAGAGAAAGTTCCCCACTTCCTTAAAAAATTGTTTCAAAATTTACCGGTATGCAAACCAATGAATTAATAAATGAAATTCCCCAGTGGTTTTACACCAGATTTGTAGTAATATAATGTTACAGTAATGTTTTGTAGGCTGATACTTCTGGAACATGTACATACAATGTACACATATTTAGGGCTCACAAGGATTTGAGGGTGTTCTATAGTAATCTTTGTGTCAGACATCAGATTTTCTGTTCTTTCACAATAACTTATTCTTGTTTGTTCCTTTTGTGTTAAATTTAGTGCATTGTTTCAACAGACAGTAAAACGTGTTTTGATACCAAGGTTGAGTATGCAAATTCAACTGGTTTGGGAATAGGGGAATGATCGATGTAGATTTTTTTACTTTGTGTCATTATCAAGTTTTAGAAATTGAAAACAGTAAATTGAAGTATTTAGATGTGATTAACATCAGTGAAAAATTTCAGGCACTTTGGAGCATTTTGCCTCAGTAATGTCTGCCAGAACAGTTGTCGGCCATGACAAAGAAGGAAGAGTTATATTTATGCAAGCAGATGGAAAAACTGGAGAAAATGGGTATGAATTTAGTGTTTACTCATTGGAATTTCAAATCAAGAAAATAATTAAAGCAATAATTATATATATCTCATAGTAATAACTTAGAATATTATGCATAAGGTTTTATACTTTTTGATGGCATTTCAGTAAGCACATACTGTAAATGTCTTTAATTCCATGTGTTTAGTATTTCACTATTTTCTATGTAAGCACATTTCGGGTGGTATTAATTTCACAGACAATGAATTTCTCATTAATGAATATTTGTATAATCTTAAAAATGATTCTTAAAACAACGAAATTAATTTATGGTGATTGAATTATAAAATTTATAACCAACTGAAACCAACTTTATATAAGCAGTCACTTTGTTATCCCCTTGCAACCAAGTTGGAAGGGATATAGTAATTAAGTAATGTGCTTGTGTGTTTTTGGGTGAGTGAGTGTGTGCACACCAGAAGTTATGCCAGCAATAATTTATACATGTATTGGGATCAAGTGTTCATTGCAAGGGGATGCTCCGCTTTGCAGTGCCGTTGTTAACCATTTGTATCCAAATGATTTTTAATGGCTATATAATTATTTTACTATTTTGGAAAAGGAAAACAGGGTTTTAAAGTATGGCACATATTTAATATGTGAATTCTACAATGATGAATTAATGTTCAGAAAATTCTTTTATAGCAAACATAGTGAAATTAAAACCAATGCAAAGTATTTCACTTTTATAATACACTGTCCATTGTGACATACTGTGATACATAGGAAAAGATTTACAGTTATTCTATGTCTTTAGATTAGACCTGAGAGAATTCATTGAGGTGATGCTAGAGTATGGTATTATCAATGCAATCAACTTGGATGGAGGAGGGTCTGCAACATACACTGTGAATGGGACTCTTGTAAACTATCCGTCAGACCAGTGGTATACACAATTGTTCTATTTCTTTTGCTCTCTACTGTAATATAAAAAAGTCATGATTTAACGTTTGAAGCAGCTAAAGAACCAGGACATTCTTAATTGATATGAATATCTCTGAAAATAAATGCATGAAGTTCAGTTTTCAAACATTGCCTATAAGAATAACATTTAAGGTGATAGGAACAAACAATACAAGAAATGTTTTTTGTAACATAAGGGCTTGTTTTGTAACAGTCATTGTTAAAGATATTTAATCACTGCAGCACAGAGGACAAGAAATTCAACTGTGCTAGAAATGTGTCCACTGTTCTTTGTGCTCATCTACCAAGATGTCCAGAGGTCAACTGTTCAGGTCATGGAGCATGTGTACTAGGGACCTGTCTTTGTGATAAATACTGGACAGGAAGTAAATGTGATCAGCTGTTTTGTTTAGTAAACTGTAGTGGGCATGGAAAATGCACACAAGGTAAGAAAATACATTGTATAATTGCACGTACATGTATAATTACCTGAATGAACATCAAAATTTATTTTAAGTGATGCACATATAACAAACTTTGTTTATCCTATATATAAAGTTATTAATGATAAATGTAAATCACACTGACAATTCTGCCAGTACATCTGAAGTCATACAGTACATGTAACCTTACTACATTTTCTTAGATGGCTGTTCCTGCAGTGCAGGTTGGCATGGTGATACATGTAACAGCACATGCCCACATGGGCAATATGGGGTTGGTTGTGAGTTCAGGTGTACCTGCCTGAATGGTGGTGATTGTGACAGAGTGAGTGGAGCCTGCCACTGTCAGTCCGGTTACACAGGGACTTTCTGTCAGGACTGTAAGAATCATATAGTCTACGTTATTAATATGTGATACATTTATCACATCCATGTTGATCTTAGAAGAGCTTAGACACAGTTGCATTGCTATTTTGTTTTCAATTTCTATTTTTATTCAAAAAATAACTTCAGTTTAATGAATTGAACTTACATGAAATCTTTAAAAATTTGATGAGAACAACATTCTTCATAAAATCACGTCAAACATTTGTGTTTATAAACATTGGCAAGGGCTCTATTATAATTAATGTTTACTTTTCACCAGGTGTGTTCAATTTTTTTACTTTATAAAAATTACTGAGCACCAACTGACAATACTGGTAAATTGGTTTCCAACTCTGAATTTCCTGGATTATAGTTTTAATGCTTTTCATAAGTACGTAAAAAATTTTTCACTTTTCTCAAATATTAAGGATTGAGTTTACTGGTGGAAGTGCAAGGATGTGTATCAATCAATTGTGTCCCAAAATTCGTGGTTTTAATAATGTCCAGATAAAAGAAGTTTCTAAACACGCTTTTATAATATTTTGGTGCAAGATGCTTTAGCAACATAATTATGTCGTGATATAATGAAAATTCTAGAATTTCAAATCTACATTATATGTATGTCCAAGCCCCTTTAATTTCAAACCAAAGGTCAAGGCTATGGTTAATACTGTTCACATATAAGTGATCCTTTTATTAAAATATCTTTTTAATTTAATTTACTTCACTATGGTTGAAAGAAGATGCCTACAGATTTTAAGGTTTTGAGGATAAAGATTAATCTCAAAATTACTTATTCATAAGTGCATTAAATGTGATGCAAATGTTCATATTCATTACAAAAGCTAACTTGCTTCATGTTCAAGGATAAAAGATCAATATTATAAGTGTAAGCATATTGAGCTCTGAATGACTCTGATAGTATTTCTAATTGGTTCCATTTATAGCATATTTTACTGGGCATATTTATCACATCAAGTGACAATCTGGTTATTTATTCTAATCTTTATTTCTTTATCCGAAGAAAAAAAAAATTATAAACACTTGATTAACTTTATTTAGTGTGTCCATATGGTTACCATGGCAACTCTTGTAAGGCCCAATGTCTCTGTGACGATGGCTGTCCTTGTCATCCAACCACAGGAAGCTGTAACTTCTCTGATTTAAACTCCGACATTCAAAGAGGTATCTGTATTATCTCAAAGGGAATTCTAGTGATGATGAGATTAGAAAAGCAACAATTTGAAGGGTTCAAAAAGATTTAAATATATCACACTGTATATGCATTCCTACCTTTTTAATGATAACCTTATTTACCAATTAATAAGGTAAATAATACTTGATTGCATTAGGAGAAATGAATGTTAACTTATAAGTGATATGACTTAAACCGAGTTCATTGTTTGTGTGTACATGTACAAGCCTGAGAGTAAGTTTACACTGAACAGATGCTATGTACTTTAATTCTACAGCTTGTGTGTGTTTTTCTCAGAAGAAAATCAAAGCAGAGCATCTAGTCCCAGACCAGTCCAGTGTCTACAGGTCTGACTTGTCCTAATCAATAAAACAGAAATTATGTAATCAATAAATCAATCAGAAATTAATCTAATCAGTAAAAAAAAATCAGACTTAATCAATATAAATCAATCAGAATTTAATCCAATGGTTACCAGACATTTCTGACCTCATTTTCTTAAACATTTACAGCAATTCTTTGTAATATTTACATAATATGCGTTTAAATGTTTCAGCATTCTACAAGTTTTCCTCTGTTTCAGATCCTGTCTATTAGCTTTAATTATAATCAGCATCTTGGCAATTCTCAGTTTGATGGTGAACATAGTTTTAGCATACAAAGTATACACAAAGAAAAAGCACAAAAGTCCACGACATAAGAAGGCAGTTTTAACAAACTCCAAACAGCTGTACAGGTTTCCAAGCTCGGACACGGACGGAGATCTCTCCTCCTTTAGTGATTGTCCCATGGAGCAAACCAGCTTTATCAGGAAACAAAAAGGATACTCATGAAGAACATAACAATAATTTATATACGTCTTCCATGAAAATATTTTGGAGCAAACCAGCTCGGTCAAAAAACTGTACAAGTACTTTAGCATCTTCAAAGGTTAGGATAAAGGCAATACATTGTATATCATAATCATTGAATTTTTTTTTTCAAGTAAAAATCAATACATGTATATAAATAACATTTAGGAATTACAGAACAACTGATGAACTATACAGTAGATTATGAATGAGTGGTGTTATTATAATGATTACATAGATGCATTTTTTTTTCATTTTCAACATGAAACATACTGTTAAGCATATATTGATAGGAAAAAATCGAATTTTTAGACTTTGACACGAAATCATTTGATGGCTGGCTCTTTGAGCAAATATGGGACCAAAACAGGGATCAAAGTTTTAGAAGGAAAAAAAACCAAAAAACAAAATCACAGGAGGGACACAGAAATATTTATTTGCAATATTTCATATGTAGTGTAGATTCATTTTTTTTAATTATTTTTTTTAGAAGTCGTGGCCCTTATAGGATTATTGTGAGGACACAATAGGAATTGAAGTTGAAATATTACATAGTAATATGCAAGAAAAATTCTTCCCCTTAAGAGTATTTTGCATTCCCATGTTATGTAGATTTCTTCTGTTCTGTGCCCTGGAACCAGGAAGGGGACACAACAGAATTAAGAACAAAGTTTTCCACTAATTAAAATGCATGTGTTCACATGAACACAAATTACAATTAGTAAACTTGACATGAAGCATCAATATACTGTAAAAAACCATTGTTGAAATTAGTGGATTTATTTTCGTCTGGAAGAGATTGTAATCACAGGTGAGTGTTGTGGTCCATGGACCTCTTTTTTTCTGGAACTCTGTAAGGTTATTTTTTGCAGCACTATAACTCTTTTTTATAGCCTTTTTTTTAAGGTCACCTGAGTCACTCAGGTGACCTATTGCTATCACTTTTCATCCGTCGTCGTCCGTCGTTCGTCGGTCATAAACTTTTGAACATTTTCAGCTTCTTCTCTGGAACCAGCAAACCAATTTCAACCAATTTTGGCATATAGCATCTATGGGTGAAGGGGAACAAAAATTGTGAAATTCGTGGCCCCTGCCCCCCTGGGGCCTGAGGGGTGGGGCCAAAACCATCAAAATTAATGCAATCTTTAAAAATCTTCTTCTTTACTCCTGGACATCAAGCAGTCAAACTGTTGGCATGATTGTAATAAGCATTGAGCCCTCCACCAAAATTGTGAAATTCATGGCCCCAGGGTCAGGGGTTCTGGTGCTAGGGCGGGGCTATACAGATCATATAGTGAAAGTGCATTATTTCTTTGAAAATCTTCTTCTCTACTCCTGGGTATTATTTAAACAAATTGAATACATAGTTATGATAAGCTAGAGTGACTCTACCAAAATTGTGAAATTCATGACCCCAGGGTCAGGGGTTCTGGTGCTAGGGCGGAGTATATAGATCATATAGTGAAAGTGCATTATTTCTTTGAAAATCTTCTTCTCTACTTCTGGGTATTATTTAAACAAATTGAATACATAGTTATGATGAGCAAGAGTGACTCTACCAAAATTGTGAAATTCATAGCCCCAGGGTCAGGGGTTCTGGTGCTAGGGCGGGGCTATATAAATCATGTAGTGAAAGTGCATTATTTCTTTGAAAATCTTCTTCTCTACTCCTGGGTATTATTGAAACAAATTGAATATATAGTTATGATAAGCAAGAGTGACTCTACCAAAATTGTGAAATTCATGACCCTAGGGTCAGGGGTTCTGGTGCTAGGGCGGGGTATATAGATCATATAGTGAAAGTGCATTATTTCTTTGAAAATCTTCTTCTCTACTCCTGGGTATTATTTAAACAAATTGAATACATAGTTATGATGAGCAAGAGTGACTCTACCAAAATTGTGAAATTCATAGCCCAAGGGTCAGGGGTTCTGGTGCTAGGGCGGGGCTACATGTATATAGATCATATAGTGAAAGTGCATTAACTCTTTTAAAATCTTCTTCTCTGCTCCTGGGTATTAAATAAACTAACCAAGTATATAGTTATGATAAGCAAGAGTGCCTCTTCCAAAATTGTGAATTTCATGGCCCCAGGGTCAGGGGTTCTGGTGTTAGGGCGGGGCTCTATTGATTATATAGTGAAAATGCATTTATTCTTTGGTATTCCTGGGTATTATTTAAACAAATTAAATACATAGTTAAGAGTGACTCTACCAAAATTGTGAAATTCATAGTCCCAGGGTCAGGGGTTCTGATGCTAGGGTGGGGCTATATAGATCATATAGTGAAAGTGCATTATTTCTTTGAAAATCTTCTTCTCTACTCCTGGGTATTATTTAAACAAATGCATAGTTATGATAAGCAAGGATGCCTATTCCAAAATTGTGAATTTCATGATCCCTGGATCAGAGGTTCTGAAGTTAGGGCGGGGCTCTATTTATTATAGAGTGAAAATGCATTAATGCTTTAAAAATCTTCTCTGCACCTGGGCATATCAGAGGAAAAAAGAGTAAAAGAAGTTTTAATAAGGAAGGGTATTTTTACCAGATTTTTGAACATCAGGACCATTTGGTCATTGACAAGTGTTCTGGTCCAGGCCAGGCCTCTATTAATTTGTATTCTACTGAGAGGAGTTATTCCCCTTTGCCATTTACTTGTGATAATTAATCACTGTAAATAATGTACTTGAAAGGTTAATAGAATAAGAGAATTATGCAAGAATTTTTATTGTATAATACAAAAAGTACTTTCATAATTTTAATGATCAGGTAGACTTGTAAATAATAGATAAATAAAAATGAGACAAAAATAACTTGTCTTAATAAATGATCATCAAAGACCAAGAAAGGCCAATGTAAGAGATTTCAACAAGGAATTAAAAGAGTACAGAAGCACTGATAGTTTGTTTAAGAGTGATTAAATGGGGAACAGATTAGAACCTAATTTATGAACTGTTAATGAATACTAGACTAGTAATATTATTGATCCTGATCACCCTATTTTTCTTGCTTTTGGGAAACAAAGCTTCACCTTTCAGTTCATTTTATACTCTATGGATCCTCTAAATTGTTGTATTATACTCAGGTGACCGTTAAGGCCCTTGGGCCTCTTGTTTTAGATACATGTATGTTCAATGATATTTCTACATGGTGTGATATTACAGTGATTATTCTGTTATAATTTTTAATCCTTATTACAAAAGTTGTCTTCCACTGTTAACAGTGAATTTCTTTTTTCTGAGACACTCAGGAAACCTGTGTGTGATGAGATAGGACAGGAGGTTAAGAATGCTGTTTTGCCAACTGTAAAAAAGTTTTTATTCAACACTTATGTATTTTATTTTATAAACATGGTAATTTGTATTACTTTGTGTCCTTCTTGTCTGCTTTTGTTCCATTACAGTTCATTATGATTTCCTTTAACTGTATTAATTTTTGGTGTATGGATATGAGTATTAAATAAATGTTTGGTGTGAGGATGATTCTTTTATTGTCCATAGGAAAGGGAATCTGATTACATGAACTTGATTTTACTTTGTTGTACTGCTTAAAGCTGAACACGCTTCGTAAAAAGAATCTGTCCGCCATATTCGATAGGACTTTCGCTATATCTGAGAGCCCCTATATATAGAGCCGCTCACTTGGTCACTGTTTAGTGTAATCAATTGTCACCGGTGTAGACGGACATATGTTATACAGCACTTAGTAGCGACGAAAATAACTGTGTGCATAGCGACGAAAATAACTGTGTGCTTCTTCTAATGCAGGAGAGTAAGATACCAAAGAGATTTACAACAGTTGCACGGGTCAGTGCAGTATACAAACAAACACAAATATACGTAACTGCAATATAACTGCAATAAAATGTAAACAAAAGTAATGCAAGATAACCAGCACGAACACGGGTCGCCATTCCACGTCGATACCCGTGATAATAAAGCAGTCAGGAGTATACCTTGGTGCTGTTATCTTAGATAGTAATATCGTAAATGGCGTATGCTTATTTACGAGTCGTGTTCAGCTTTAAGGTTAATAACTTATGGAGTAATCAGTGATTTACATGTATATATTTGTACGTTTATTATCCTGTGCTTCCTTTATTGACTGCTCAATATCATGGTTTTTAGGTGACTTTTTAAACTTGTGAATTTTTGGTATGATGGAATGTTATTTTAGTCTTAAATAGATGCAGTAAGTTAACAACTTTGCAAGTAACCCTATATGGTTTATTTGACTTTTTTTCTTTATCATTACTAAACATTGGGCAGACAAAAGATTTACTAATTTGGGTTACCTCCATATGCATATATTTCCATTTCTATTTGTTTTCTCTGTGATAACTCTGAAAGTTAGTTGAGTTGATTTCTTGATCATTCTACCGTAATGTAAATTTCGCCAAGCGAAAGGTCAGGAGCTAAGAAGGCCTAATATGCATGTAATTCTTGTGCGGCTGTCTTTGTGTTTGACATCAGTGGGCGGGAACTATTGAAATTGACATGTGAGGCCTCATGTAATTTAAATCTATTAGTCTACATTTTTAAAGTCTAAATTTACAATTTTATTTCACAATGAAATGGAAATATAAGGAATCAGTGTCTAGTTAGTGGTGTATGCCAGGGACATCAAGGATAGTTGGAAACGTGGAATAATTTGCATAACGGGCAAAGCCCGTTATGCATAAATTATCCCACGTTTATAACTATCGTTGATGCCCTGGCATATTCTACTAACTAGACAGTGATTCCTTAAGTAACTGCTTGTCTCTCATGACAATATTTCTACATGTGTAGTCCAATGCTGAGTTTTTTCATTCATGTTTTTTTTTTAAGTTTTGCCTGTACTTATGAGGGTACCCGGTATTTATGCAGATGTTTTAAGGTTTGAACAAATAGTTAAGTTTTTTTGTTTTGATGAAAGAAAAAAATTATGTTTTGTTAAATTGTCTGTTATCTAGCTGTCTATCGATCTGTGTTGCCTAGTAAACAATTCTTTCAAATCCGTACTACGTCAGTTTTTGTTTCATTTTTTCTTACGGTAAATGCTACTTTTTTGCCCCTTGTTCCCACTTTGCAGAAAGATGTTAGCAAAACATATTCATTAATGGAATATTTCATGGAATGATTATATTCATCTTATGGAATGATTATATTCATATTAATGGAATGATTCAGTATCTTATTAAAATAAGAAACATTCTAAGAGTAAGTATAGATTAATGTTGTTTGGACAAAAATAGGATAAAATTTTGTGTATACGTATGTGCAGAAAAAAAGTTGTTGATTTTCTTTCTGATTATTGCAGTGGTTTTTTTTTCCTTTAATCTTGTCATGAGTAGGTTATATACCTAACAGTTATTATTAAAGGTGTTTGTAATTTCTTTCAAAAAATAAACACTTCAAGCAATTAGGAATACACAATTGGTGGAGGGGGGGGGGGGTGTAAACATTATGGTTTGAAATAATCGACTGCTTTTAGTGTATAACCTTACCACAATTGGACATGATTTAACAAGTTGGAAGTAGTCTAAAGTTTGAATTTTTTAATAATTCTAAGCTCAAAATTATCAGTGAAGTTGGACAAAGACAAAGAAGTCTGGGCCTTAGATGATGTAAGAGCAATCAATTTCAAAGATAACAAGCTTTGTGAAATTTATTTACATAAATTAAGGACACAAGTAAAAAACGAAGAAATAAAAAAAAGATGAAACAATAAGTTTGGCATCAAAAAATGTATTAAAAAAATAAATAAATAAAAAACAAACAAACAGCATAGTAATACATGTAATAAAAACATTAAAATTTACAAATATTTCAATATGCAAGTAAGAGAAATTAATGTTTCTGTTATTTTTCTTCAACATCCATATACCACAGTCTACTGTTTACATCTTTAAACTGAAAAAAAATGCCCTGATTCTCTCGGAGAGAATATTTAATGCATCTATTGTATTCAGTCAAATATGTCACCTACATATGCTGCAAGTCATCATTTTTTCTTGAGAGGTTAATTCTATATAGGTCTTCTCTTTTACACACAATCAAGACATTTAACAAGAATATTTACCATTTTTTGACATGTTTATGTACATATGCCTTTATATATATATATATATATATATATATATATATATATATATATATATATATATATATACAAACTGCAGTACAATTGTTAAAATTGACTCACTGGTCTACTGACGCACTGAAATATAGGTTAACTGATGGCTTATATACAAACGTCCGGTAATGAAATGTGTGTCATGAGTGAATTGATGCATATATCAGATTTCCTGTGATATAATTGAATTGTGTGATTTTCCACATTTTAAAGATTTTGAGTTCTTTAATTATAGGAATCTGTCCCAGTTTGCTTGAACTGAAAGAAATTTATGTATGGATTCTGTGTAATTCAATTTTCTCTCTGTTTTAATTATTCAATCATATCATATGCAAATACACTGGAAGAAAACTGTGCAAACTCTAAAGTGCAGGTCTCTTAAATTTTGACACTGCCTATTTCATTTAGTGCAATTCAACCAACAACTTGTAACAGGATTTAGGTATTGTGAAAAAGAAAACTCCGAATCTGAAGTGCCCTGAAAATATACAGCATTAAATAATTTGGGTACAGTCCATTACACAGTACTGCATTAAAATGAACAAACTCTTTTCATTCCTCCTTTTTAATTACACTTTCAACACTGTTACAACAAAATTTAAATTATATTACTATGACGACAATGTCTTATAATAATCCCAATGTCAGGCCCATGAGGGCTAACCAACGGATAAGGGGGATGTTTTGTTGTCCATAATAAAAAAAGTAAAGGAATGTGTGAGGAACACCAATCTCTTAAATGGAACACATAACGAGTGTTCATGCGGTGTTCTTGAATATTGGGAACTTATATATAACACCTATATTTTATGAATATATACTCATATTACGGAGAGAAGTACCAGCATTAAAGACAAAGGGGGTAGATTTTTATGAATTTTCCCCAATCAGACACGCATGACAGAAGAATTTGCGACAGGTAGTTGTACATTTTTATCAATAGGCACTTAAAAGACAAACAAAACCACAGACAGGTGTAGTTTAAAAGAGAAAAAAGTTCTTTTTTCCATATAATTATGTTACCTTTGCTTTCTCTAATATAACGTATAGTTGTATATACGAAGATTTAGAGTTCCAGAAAAATAAATCTACCCGAAACCAAAAAAAAAAAAAAAAAAAAAAAAAAAAAAAAATCAGTATATAGGAAAAAGATCCAGCTGCAGATTGTCAAAATAATAATAAGAATCGTCAGGTAGAATAGAAAAACATGATCCTCAACCCGTAAGTGTAGAGACATGCAAAATTTGAGAATCTCTCTCTCTCTCTCTCTCGCTCTCTCTCTCAATTGAGTAAAGGGGGAGGGGCATGGGGTTGCATTCCGCCAATTTTAAAAAAAACCTTTGAACAGAAAGCTAACGTTTGTGTACGTTTGTATACAAACGATGTTCAGGATTATCCGGAACTCTTACCAATAAACAAAATTTGGCACAAATAATCGTATTTCATTATCCTTGTGCGGCTATCAAATTTTTTATCGTCAATAAAACAAAATGGATTACTCATTGAAATGAAGTTCATTTTTATCAATCCGAACATCCTTTTTCCGTCAAGTCCAAATAAAAACCTCCGAGGACTTTTCACCATTTGACGGAAAAGACTGAGTACTTTTAAAATGCTCCTATTGTTTCTTTATACATACAGTGGTTACGTCACAACAATGACCTCTATGACGTCACTACACAAAGATCTTAAAACGTCACAATAGACCATAGCAACTTTGTTTAGGAAAGTTTGCAAGAAAATCGGCAAAATGTTGGAAAGCGTAAGAAAGACGATGGTAAGTTACATGCTTTTCTAATACATGTATACCTTGTATCTGCATATAACCCTCCTGATCTCAAAATAGTTTTACAAAGTTGCTGTTGGGTGTTTATCGTCTCAATTATACTGTTTTCAACGTGAGCCAGTCTAATCACATTTTGACATAGATCTAAGAAAATGTTTTTTATTCCCTTAATGATAAATCAATCTACTCTCCTACAAAAAGTTGTGAAGAGTAGTGCAAGTTTGTCCAAAAATTTGTCGGAAAATATTGTGATGGGACATATTTATCGGGGAATTTCTGTACCATACTTTGTAATCAAGATATACCAAGATGAAATTCATTTATGATGACAGTGCGTTACATAATCCATTCAGTTTATAAGATATCGTATTTCTGTCTTTTTAAGTTTACAAAGAAATACAATATTTTAAAAATTGCTGATATTAGCAGCATTATGTTTGAAGAAGATGGGTGAACAAGGCGTGCAGAATGCCTATAGCTTCAGATATTAAAAAATCATATTCAATTTGTTAATGAAGTATTAAATTTAAAGTAAAGTTCTCATTATTGAAATTTATGAAATTATGATTGAAACAAAGCTTTTATGAGAAAAAAATCTCGGAAAAAATATAAAAAATATTAAAAATATTAAAAATATAAAAAATATAAAAAATATTAAAAAATAAAATGGTATTCGTGGGATTCGAATCCCTTGACTTAATGGATTTCAAGTATTTCTCGGAAAGATGCGAATGCTTTGTCATAAAAGTGTACTTTTAAGGTATAGTGGGTCTTTGCTACATGTTTTTGTAAACTAAAAAATGTATATTTTTATGCAAACTTTTAGGATTAACTTTCAAAAAAAATGGAGCAAAGACCCACTTATATCGAAAAATTTTGTTAAAGTATGAGAAAATGATCCTTTTTGTCCCCTGTAGTGTGTGTATGCTATTTCGTAGGCAAATAATTTCAGTCTTTGTGAGATTTTTGTAAATTGTAGAGATTTTACATAAAGTATACTTTAATGTTAGATGAAATATCAAAGAAAATTTCGATATAATTGAGATTTTATTTTCCACTTCATGTTTGTCGCACTATAGGCACTTCGCCCAACTTGTTCACCCATTTTCTTTTAAAACATATTAAGACAGGTGTAAAAAGAACACACAATACACCAAAGGCATCATCTTGAAACTGACTTTTGGTTTGACAAAAAAAACAAAAAAAACAACAACAAAAAACCGCCCGCTTTAGCACCTCGCAAATAATGCATCACAAAAGAGCCCGCAGAAGTGCGATGGCTTGGGGGGGGGGGGGGGGCTTGACTGATTCCTGGAAGTCTCTGATCTGGGTACCTGCATTTTCGGCATTTTCAGACATTATCATTATTATCTAAACACTCACTAGCTGCACCCTGTAAATCAACCAGAAAATCAACAGTGTTTATATGTGAGACCCGGTTCATCTCTCCCCCCCTCTTTAGAGCTCACTTGAGATGAAAGCTCACATAAGCTTATTCTGATCATACTTTGTCCGCCATCTGTCTATATAGCTTGTTCGTCCGTCTGTAAACCTTTTTTTTTTTTACTTTTTCTCTAGAAGAACTGAACCAATGTTTAGGGTAGATCTATGTTTTTAAAAACATTTGAAGAACCACTGCCCCCTCCAAATAAAATTAAACGTGTGAAGACTCAAAGAAAAACAACTAAAGAACAGCGGGACCAAAAACTAGTTACATTTGCGTGCTGAGTATATGAAAGCATCCACAGGTAGTGTGTAGATTCAAGTTTAAATCAGTCTCTTCTGTCTCTCACAATAGAAGATCAAGATTCTACATGGAACACAATTTTCAAAATCTTCTCAAGAACAACAGGACCAGGGTATGCCTTATTTAAAATTCTAATTTTAATTTATCAATATTTTCAACACCCATTGTAGATTGTGAAAAGTGCTGCGTTCCTCTATCGATTATACTAGTACTATTTCATTGTTAAAATCATATTTGTATGGCTGCATGCTGACTTTTTTGCTGGTCGACTGCATTTAATATAGAATTAATTCATTTTCATGATTTCACCAGGATTTCAGCACTTTTTAAAAAGCTTACTATTTCTAGAGTT